GGGCGGGGGCGGGCGGGCCGGCGCGCTCCCCGCGGGACACGTTTGGGCGCTCACACCACGGCGCCCGGGCTCGCGTTTGAGGGAGGCGCACAGGCGAATGGTCGCGCGGCGGGGCCAGCTGAGCGGTCGTGCGTGCGCTTGCGCGCGCGCGCGCGCGTGCCCTTCCCCGCCGAGGGAGGTGTTAATAGCGGGGGAGGGGGGGGGGCCCAAGTCGGGGGCATGTGCGTGACTCGCCCAAGCACCAGGGGGGGTGCCCCTTGGACGGCTCCCGGCCCCCCTCCCTCCCCCGGGCAATAAAATGCGGGCGCGCGCGCGCGCGCGCGGGCCAGCGTGCCCGACTCTCCGGGGCCAGGCCCCCCGGCCTTCTCGGCTGCAAGGGCAGGGGCATGACAGAGGGCGCTGCGCGCGGGCTGGCCATGAAACAGGTGCCAACGCTCGGGCCGCCCCGGTCGTGCCCCTACGTGAAGCGTGCGCGCGCGTGCGTGCGTGCATGTTGTGTGTCGGCTGTTGCGGCCTGGCCCTTGGGCTCAGCATTGCGCAGGCGGGGTGTGGGGGCGCGGGCGCGAGGCAGGGCGTCCGTGGGCCGATCTCGCACGGCGGGCCCAGGCCGGGACGTGCGTGTGTGTGTCTGTGTGTGTGCATCTCTTCATGGGATGGGGTGGCCGGCGGGGGCAGGTCGGACAACTGCAGGGACACAACTAGATGGAGCAGGGCGGGGGGGGGGGGGGAGGGATCTATTGGGCGACGCTGTCTGGCAGGGACACGGGGACTTCGATGAAGAGGCAGTCTCGGGTGCGGACCTGGACCGGGGCGGCGATCGGACCAAGTGGCGTGTTCAGGCCCTCGACCATGAGATGGCTGAAGGCGCTGTCGGCCGCCAGCAGGCGCTCCGCCTGCATGGTCTTCCTGCGGGGCGGGCGGCGGCGGCGGCGGCGGCGGCGGGGAGGGGGGGGGAGTCAGCGCGACTGGGTATACACATGTGCGCATGTGGGTGTGCTCCGATGGAGGGCGGGCGAGAGAGAGAGAGAGAGAGAGAGAGAGAGAGAGAGAGAG